GCACTGGGGGACGGAGGAGGGCCGGGAGCGGGGATTAGGCTCCCCCATCCCCTGCCCCGTTCCCTGCCTGATCTGGGGCCAGTCCCTCCCCAGCACAGATTTCACACTAATTCCTTCAGGTGGGTCCCTCTCCCCTATGGAACCCACTGCTACCTCAGACTCTCCCAATTTATAACGTCTTAAAGTCAGCGCGGCCTTTTCCTTGTCCAGCTTTACTAAGTACAGGGGATTTAGAGTTGATTTAAGCATTTCTACCCAATCTCTCCTTCTCAACTCCCTTTCTCCTACCCATAGCTGCCCTAGTTAAAGCCTTCATCTTTCTCTCCAGGAGATATCACGGACCATAGTCTATCCCCCAACACTGGCAGTTCCTTCCGAAGTCTTAGAACACAGTGCTTGGTTTTTAGTAGGGCACACAGCCACCCAGAATAAGAACTACATCTCCCAGCTTCCCTAGGACCTACTGGTTGCCATGTGACTAAATTCTGGCCAATGGAATGCGAGGGGGAAATAAAGGTATATTAAAAAGAAGAGGCTCTTCCCTCTCTCCTTCCTGAAGGCCTGAATGAAGCTCACTGGACCAGGTGGCCCATGCTGAGGGGACAGAAAGTCAAAGGAGCCTGGAGCCCAGAGGAGTTGGTGGAACACGGCCACTCTACTGGCCCAAACCGCTGGCCAGGGGACTTCTACAAGAGGAAGCAATAGGCATCTTGCTTAAACCACGCCCACCCACCCCACCCCCACCCCCAGGTGCTGGGGATCCAGCTCAGGGCCTTTTGCGAGCTGGGCAAGTGCTTCACCAAGAGCTACAACCCCAGCCCCTAAACCACTACTAATTAGAGCTCTCTTATTCACAGTTGAATCTAATCCAACCCAACACATTGCCCAAACTGAGGGTCTTTTGAAGACCTTCCTGGGTCCTGTTCTACCCCATATCAAATTAAAATGCACTGGTGTGTTTTATCATTAAGTATTAAATATTTAACATTAAATATCATTAAATTATAAAGTTACTATTTTAAAAGAATTCTACAAGGCGAGCTAAGGCCCAGTTATCTAGTTAGCATAATTCATACACTCTAAACATTTATACATTTATTGGCTTTAGTTTTGCAGTTTTCTCTTTGTATTTTGGAGCCAGCTCATTTATTTTTCCAAGACTAAATCGATTCCTGGGGCTCTACAAAGCTTCCGGGCCCTAGGCAGCAGACTTAGGAGCCAAATAGAGAAACAGCCCTGGGCCTCTTCCCGGTATCTAACACTGTTTCCACACCACACCCCGCCTACCTCGGGCTCTCCCTCTCCATGCCCTCAGGTTAAAACTCAAACTCTTTGGCTCTGCAAACAAGGCCCTCAGGCTCTGGCCTCCCCAGCGAACATCCCCAACCCCATCTCGGGACCCAGCTGCCAGATCTACAGTAAGGAGTGCTCACTGGAAACATGAAGCCCGGTTTTGGGGGACTCCCACTTTCTTTTTTGTGGGCTTGTCCCTCTGCCTGGCAAATTCAACCCCCACAAGGCTCACATGACCTTGTGTCCTTGAGAGCCTCCTCCGCCTTCCGGAGGCAGCCTGGTTCTCAGTCCCTAAGGTCCCCAGGGTGCTCTACAGATCCCCTCCTTCACTTTGCGAGTCACATTTTTTCTGGGGTCCTGCCTCACCCCTCCCCACCCCGGCAGTGAGCTCTGAGGAAGGGGCTGTGGCCTCTTGCACCTGGATCCTCTCTGTTCCTCCCCTAGGGCTCCACACAAAGCAGTCTGCAAAATGAATTTGTGGGTGCTGTGGGGTTCTGGTCCACTTCCAAAGCCCAACTCAAGCAGTCCTGACCTCTGGGTCGCCCCTCGGGTAGATGTCAGGGCGGGAGAGGCCTCTGAGGCCGCCTGGTCTAATTTCTCACACAGAGAAACTGAGGTGTGAGAGCGGAAATGCTAGAAGAGAAAATAGTCCTAACAGTTAGAACACTCATTTCTGCCTCTGGTCGCAGGATAGCTGCTCCTCAGTTCAGGGCGCTGGGGCCTGAGAGAAGCTCTCCCAAAGGTCCTCTCCAATCTTCTGTCCTTCCCAAAGTGTAAGCCCTGCAGTGGTGGCTGAGGACAGGCCCTGGGCCCTGATCCTAGCTCCAGCCCTGACCGTGCTGTCCCCTTGGCTAAGTTTCTCAAGCTGCCCGAACCTAAATTTCTTCATAGGTAAAATGAGAAGACAATGACCCCCATGAGGTCAGTCACACAAGTGAGTGAGAAAAACATAACATCATCAAAACACACAGTAAATGGTAAATGTTAGCCATCATCATTTCACTATTGCTATTTATTATTGGAATAAAGACCCACATCTTCACCATGGCCTAGCATAGGCTGAGTTGTGCGCCCTCCAAATGAAGTCTTAACACCGAGCACCTTGGAGTGTGACTGTTCAGAGACAGAGTACTTAAGGTTAAATGATGTCACTGGGATGCCCCCTGACCCACATTACCGGTGTTCTTCTAAGTGGATTAACACACTCACGCACACAAGAAAGGCCTTGTGAAGACAGAGAAGGTGAGAGGTTGCAGAAGAAACCAACCCCTGCCAACACCTCCATCTCAGACTATTAGCCTCCAGAATTAGATGAAAATGCATTTCTGTTGAAGCCACCCAGTCTGTGATAGTGTTATTAACTGTCCTGAAAAATGAATACAGCTCACAACGCCACACATAATCTGGCCCTGCCAAGCCCTCTGAGCTCATCCTACCCATTCTCTCAGAGCCACCCTCACCTCCTTTCAGTTCCCAAAAGGCCAATGTACCTTGCTGCCTCAGTGCCTTTGCACATGTGGATTACTTGGCCTGCACTATTCTTTCCCCACCTTTCCCTTACTCTCCTTTGCAAAGTAAAATCCTGCCCCTCTTTCAGATCTCAAATCAAGGATTCTATCTCTGGAAATGCTTTCTAGACTCATGCATCCCAGTTTGCAATGATAGATTTGTTTGTGAAGCAACCTGAAAAAACAATAACTTTCCTACTACGTTTTCAAGGAGGGCAGAGTCTATTTTTCCCACTGCTTTATTCCAGGGCCTACCATGGCACCTAGCACTTAGTAGGGGCTCAAGAAATGTGTACAGCCTGAACAAATGAGGTCCTCGCTGGCCTCCCTTTTCCAAGCTGCTGCCCCCACACCCTCCCTCTAGGCCTCTCTGGTTCCCCGCAGCTCCCCGATGCCCCTCCGGCTGCCCACCTGTCTCAGAGGAGATGTTGACCTCGACACTGAGGTCAGACACAGGTGCCCCTGGGAAGGAAGCCATGCACAGGTAGGTGCCGTAGTCACTGAAATGCAGGTCGATGAGCTCCAGGCTGCTGGTGACAGCAGGCAGCTCAGGGTCGTTGCGGGTCACCAGCAGCCTCTTGGACATGCGCGCCGGCTTGCCATTCTTGAACCACTGATAGGTGACCTTCTCCTGGGGCACTGCGTCAACGTGGCAGGACAGCTTCAGGTCCTGGCCCAGCTGTATGTTCTCGCTCTCTTTGATCACGTCCGGGGTGATCTGGAAGGTGGCGTTCTTCATGGCTACAGGGATGGAGAGGGGAGGGTGGCTGGGGCTGGCCCAAAGCCACAGACCATTCCTTTTCTCTCCTGCGGGATCATGCATTTCTAAAACTCACTGGAGAAAAATGAGTTTAAGAATGATGCTAGCCATGGGGTGGGGCATCAGCACCCATCCCCACCCAGTCTTAGAGGGCGTCCCCCCCCAGGCATTCCTGGCCACTGCCCACTGCTCTATGCTTATTTTTGTTTTAAGCCTCGAACACCAATTTGGAAGCACGCACCAGCCTATAATAATGATCCTGTCTGGAGAGTGGAACTGAGAGCAACTTAAAGGCAATTAATTTGCACATTTTTCCCTTATGTGCTGTTTGATTCTTTGCTACAAGTTTGTTGGTTTTTTTTTTTAAATAAAAGATAATACAATCATCTTACACACAATTACATAAAAATGCAGAGTCTAGAATGAAAAGGGCCTAGCCTCTTAAAAATGTGGATCTTATTTGAAGTAAGACAAAGATTAGAGTTCTTAGTAGGCCGAGTGCTAACTGGACCGGAAACTGGTACGCCTGCCACAAATTCCGACTGGGCTGGTGAAAGCGGCCATAGGGTCATCACCCTCAGAGGCAACCACGAGACCCAGCCCAGGTTTCAAAGGTCAAATGGAATAGGCGGAGAAACATAAGCTGCTGCCGCTGATGGGAAAAGCACCAAGACAGGAAACAAGGGCCATCAAATAGCCACAACCTTGTTACCTTTTTTCCTCAAATCTGAGTAAAATGTCAGAAAGAGCTGACCATTCTCTGTGAGGAGGAGAGGCAGACAGAGAGTGACAGGTGAGCAACGCTCGGCCACACTGAGCTCGCATCATCATAGATTCAGGTGTGGCAGCAACTGCCTTTTACTTTCAAGGTGAAAGAGCTGGATCTTAGAAGCAAAAATACCTAACACTGCACACGCAAAGCAGTGCAAAGTTTTCTCCTTCAACCAGAGGAGCAAAATCAATAGGGCAGGAAGCAGCTTGTGGCAACCACCGAGGCTGAGGTTTGGTGAGGAAAGGCTGTGCGATGTTCTCCAAGTTTATTTTGTGGTGGGGGGGGTGTACTGAGGATCGAACTCAGGTCCTTGCACTTGCGAAGCAGGTGGCGGAACCACTGAGCTAAATCCCCGGCCCCACGTTCTCCAGGTTTTGTATCGTTTTCACACTCAGCGATGATCTTCAGATTCACTGAAATGCTTCGCTACTAAAGATTTACGGAAATGTTTTACACTTAAATTCGGTTCATCACATCGAAAGCACTGTACAGAGAGAAAGCCAGGGGATTTCTCTTAAAGCCTGGTATCCACCTTGGCTTTTTGCAATATCTGTTTCCTAATCTAAAAATAAGAAAAGTATAGGTAATCAATACCAGTCCTTCCTACTCCTTGGATTGCCACGGTTCTATTTAGAAATGTAAATTATAACATGCCTCGCCTGACCCCGCTGACTGCGCAGAAGGAGGTGGACCCTGTCCCAGCTCCCGGGTAGCGCCCGGGGCTTCCGTCCTCCCCTCCTGAGGCCACGTACACCGCACCAGCAGGTTGATGGTCTTCTTCGCAGGGTTGCCCACATTGTTGGTGGCCGTGCAGTTGTAGTAACCAGAGTCCCCGGCCTGCACCGAAGGGATGCAGAGGGTGCCACCCTGGGCCAGGGCACCCAGGGGGAGCGGGCCAGGCCCGTGGGACCACTGCAGCTGGGGTAGGGGATCGCCGCCCGTCAGCAGACACTGAACTGTCACATTCTCCCCGGGGTTCACCACCAGAGTCTCGTTCACAGACAACTTGAGGGCTGGCGGTGCTGAGGGGACAAGGGGGTAGGGTCTCAGAGGGCTGTGCGAGGGGGACACCAGGGGGCCTGGGAGGTCGTGGGGGTCAGAGGAGCCCTGTGGGGGGCGAGAAGGGAGCAAACAGGAGTAGGCCCAGGGGAGGAGGGCCGGCCGCACGGCAGATCACCGTCTCCCCTGGGCACGGGGAGCGCGGGGAAGCCTGTACCTGTGGTGTTGGTGAGTCGGAAGGTGATGGCCTTGTCTGGGATGCCACACACGTTGCGTACAGACACCTGGCAGGTGTAGCTGGCGTAGTCTTGGGGCCGCAGGTTCTTCAGTTTCAGGACCTTGGTCTCCCCCTGGGCAGCAGGGCACCATTGGAGTGAGGGACCCGCTGGGGTCTCCAAGGGGTCCCCCACCCTATTGGCCACTTATTTCTGTCCCAGGTCCCATCTTCCCACCTCCACCCACACCACTGACTGCCACTACCCCTGGGGCCTGGGGGGACGCCACAGTGTCACACTCTACCAGCCTTGGCACTGCCTCCCCGAAAGCTTCTCTGGGTCTGAGGGTGCCCTGGCGCATACTGGCCAGCCCTCAGTTTCCCCACTCTGGAAATGGAGGGAAACCTGCTCTGTCTTAGAACCCACGCAAAGGGGGGACTGGACCACACGGAGGACTCTGACAGCCCCTCCAGAGCCCTCTGTGCCCACGGGTGCCCAATGTGCAAGGCGGCAGCGGCAGGCAGCATCCTTGCTGTCCCTGGGTGCCTTTTCCAAACTAGCAGAGACCCTGGAGAACATGGCGCCCTGGGCTCTCCTGCCCTGGTCACTGCCTCCTGACCTTTCCGCTCTGACTGTTCAGCCCCAGGCTGTCTGAACCCTGCTCAGCAGTTGTGCTTCTGACACCAGACATGAATTGCTGGAGTCCCCAGAATTCCAGACGGCGCAGACGGCCCCCACGACCTCTCAGGGATGAGCCAGCTGCCTGTCCCGACCTGGGTGTACAGGGGCTCGTAGATGTCCACGCCGTTGTCCTGGCTGTGGGACAGGGTGTCGGAGCCCCGCTTCCAGATGAAGCGGGCGGGCGGGTTGGAGTTCACCGTGCAGCGGAGGAACACCGTCTTCTCCTGGTAGAAGTTGCCCCGCACGTCGCTCACCGTCTGGTGCACCGTCAGCACCGGCTCGTCCAGGTCTGCAAGGGCACAACCCCCGTGGGGTCAGGACGGGAGCCCCAGAGTTAGAGGGGGTTTCTTGCTCCTGGCAGCCCTCAGGGAAAGCTGTAACCTGCTTAAGTGTCTCTTGTCTCCCTCTCCCTTCTCTATTTCTCTCTCTGAATTAATCTCTGTCTCTCTCTGTCTCTCTGTCTCTCTGTCTCTCTCTCTCTCTCTCTCTCTCTCTCTCTGTGACACGGTCTTGCTACATAGTTCAGGCAGGCCTTGAATTCACTATGTGACCCGGGCTGGCCTCGAACTTGCTGCAATTCTCCTGCCTCAGCCTCCCTAGTGCTGGGATCACAGGCGTGTGCCACCACACCTGGTGAGATTCTCTTTTTGCCCAACACCTGGCAGAGCTCACTGATGGTGTCAGAAGTCACAGTAGTGATGGCTTCTGGGGTAAGGGTACAAGGGAACTTTCCAGGGCCCTGGTATACTCATATCTTGACATGGATGGAGTTTACACACATCTGTATATATAAATCATCAAAGTTAATGCTAAAAAATTTTTTTTTAAACTCCTAATGTCATGCCACACTTCAGAAGTTTTAGGAAATAAATCAGTGCCCAAGCCTCTGCTGAGGGTTGTGACCAGGGACAGAGGAGGGTCCTCCGGGTGGTGGGGTGGGAAGTCTCAGAGCTGTCCCTCGGACAAAAGCAGAGGTAGGAGGTGCTGTTGGCAGAGCACCAGATCACACCAGCCGCTTCTCCACCTGCCCCGCACTGTGACCAGAGCCCCCCCGCGGGGGTGGGGGCGACGCCTGACTCACACTGCACGTCCACGCGGATGGACTTGATGGCCGGCACGCCCACGCCGTTCTCCGCCTTGCAGTAGTAGCGGCCGCCTTGCGTGCGCGCTATGTGCTCGATGCGCAGGGTCTCGTTGAACACCGACGTCTCCTGGAATTTGTCAGACGCGCTCCCCGCGGTCTTGGTCCACCGCACCTGGTTCGGGCCGGGCGGATGGGGTCAGACGCAGCCGGCCACCAGCAGGGACTGCGGGCGGAACACGACCACGCATCGGGGCCTCCCCAGGCCTGACCCAGCAGAGACACTGGTGGGGACGGGGAGCCCAGAAGGCCCAAGAACCGGGGGCCAGGTCACAGGACGAGGCTCCGAGTCGGGGGCCTGGGCTGGAGATCTGCGCACGGCTTTGTGGACGTTTCAGGGCCTCTCCTGCCTTCCTTTCCCCAACGGTAAAATGGCCAGTTTCCTTTTTTCCCTAGGGCTGCTGAGAGGATCGAGTTTATACTTAGCTCCCGGAAGACTAAGAATGCGGTGAAAGTAGTCTGTCATCCCCATGTAACTCGTTTATTGGCCTCACCAGGCTGCTGCTCTCAGCCCCGGTCTCTTCTGAGTGAGAGGCGTCTGACCAGCATCCAGGATGGTCTCCTGGCCTCACACTCTTCCCTAAGCCTCTCCCGCTTCCTCCTAGAGCTGTGTGACCCCGGACTAGAACAGGAGTGACAACCTGTCACTTCCAACAGGAGGTTGTGAGGGACCGATTTCCATCCTGGTCAGCTCTGGAGAAACCCTGCCGTAGGTAGCCGGGTAGAGAGGCGCTCGGGGAGGCAGGGAAGCCTCAGGCAACACCTGAGCTGCATCCTCCGGGCCCCTGACTGAGTTTGGAACATGACAGGTGCTCAATAGACATCTGTTGTAATGAAACAAGCCAAAGAGAAACGGGAAGGCACTCCGGGAGAGGCAGCAGCCGTGGCTGAAGTGGGCAAGGGCAGAGTGTACTTCCGGAGGGTGACGGGCACCCCGGGTGCTAGGACCATAGCAGCGGGAGGTCGGACGGGAGAGGCGGGAGGGTCAGAGAGTCTGCAGTTCCACCTCAGGGGGCTGGCAAATAACAGGGAAGCACTGAGGGTTTCTGAGCAGAGGAGCGGTGTGGTGCTCATGCCGGCAGCAGAGTGCAGGGACGGAGCGAGAGGGAGAACCAGCCCACGGTGTGAGCCGGAGTGGCAGGAACAGCAAACCCCTGATGAAAACAGAAAAGTGTGCGTGTGCACACAGCCATTGGTGACGCACGTGGGGCTCACAAGGGGACACACGTAGATGGCCTTTTACGGAGAACCGGCCCCACTTCGGTAGTCACACCCAAGGCAAGCAGCAACCTCAATCCAGCAGCATTGTCTTCACCTCCAAGCAAACCTCGGAGGAGAAGCAAGGTGTGACCCGGTTCCAGGTTGCAAGTCTCCCGGGCTTTCCTCACGCAGCCGCCCCTGTCAAGGCCAAACCTGCCAGGGCCGGTCCTGTCCCCAAATCATCCAGGAGAAAGAAAAAAAAAAGGGATTTTGTATTTTACTGTCCTTCCTAGGATCCAACTGCCTGCACCTTTTCTGCTGCTTTTAAAGGTCACAGCAGCTCACTAGCAAATCCCTCCCAGCCCCACAGCCCTTTTCTTCCCAGCTCCAGGCGTCCCTCTAGTGACGACCGGCCAACCTCTCCTGCCTGAACCATGGGCTTGGTCTGGGACAGAATTCTTCTGGCATTTCCAGATATTTGTCTTTGGTTTCTTTCTAATTATTTGGAGTCTTTGAGCCTCCAGGGTGTCACGCCTGCCTGCTGGAAGCTTCCTGCAGTAGACTGATGTCTGTGTTGTAGTCATTCTCGGAGCTCCTGACCTAAGGGTGGGCATAGCCAGGGGAGGTGTGCTAAACTCTAGAGAGAAAGAACACCGGTTTTGGATCCAGGTTCTGCTTCCGCCCTTCCGAGAGCTGTGTGACCCAGGTGCTTACTTAGCCTTCCCAAGGAGGCTCAATTTCCTCAGCTGTAAAATGGGGCCGGTAATGCCTGTGCGATTCAGGGAGAAAACACTGCAGAGAGGTGTGACGTGAGTTTGGTGCACGGCACGCGGTCTACCCTCCTACCGTGGTTAAAGCCTCATCCAAACATGCGCCTGTTCAGTGGATACGAGGAACAGAGCAGAAATGAACGTCCAGGTTTTCATCCCCCTCAGCCACCAATTTTTTCAGGTGAAAAAGCCCAGTCTCTACCTCCTCCCCACAGAGCTAATTTCCCAGCTCTTTTCTGGTTCCCGTCCACCTGGCAGCTCTAGTACCCAGCTCCCCTGCCTCTCAAGCTCTGGCCCCCGGTGGGTGGGGGTGGGCCCCGCAAGGCCTGGTCCCTCCTGCCGGGCTGACCTGTGGTCGAGGGTGCCCGGTGACCAGACACTGCAGCACGAGGGTGTCCCCCTCCCGGATGGTGTAGACGCGTTCGCTGATGTTGTCCTCCTTCACCACGCACGCCTGGCCTGCGTGCACGATCTGGGCCTGGGCCGGAGCTGGCAAGAGAAGGAAGGCAGGATGTGGGGGCTTAGGTCGGATGGATGCACCAGGTTGCGGGGGCTAAGGCTGCCTCCCGAGGGTTCCTGGATAGGGAGCCAGGCTGAGCTCCAGGGAGGCCCCAGGCCAGGGACGTGGGAAAGCGACACCCCTGGCACCTGCCCTTGGCAGAATGTCTGTGCCCTTTGTGTGATCAGATGGTGGACTGATTAGCATGCTGCTCCCCTGGCTGCCCCACGTGGCAGGATGTCCATCCCCGCTCACCTTCTCAAGTGAGCCCTTCGCACTCAGAGCTGCCTTGGCCAGAAATGCCTAGGAAGCCATGCCCTTCCCAGCACATGCGTGCGCGCACACACACACACGCACGCAGGGTGCCTGGGGAGCTGTCCATGCCCCATAGAGAACCCCTCCCTGCCATGGAGATAGGCTGAGGCTCTGCCTCCTGACTGCCTCCTTGTTTGGCTGCCTCCCTCACTCCCTCGGTTTCTCCTGAGAACTTTTTCTCAGCAAAGTGCTCGCCTCAGCTGTGACTCCACTTGCCCCTCACCACGTCAGGGTCAGCTTTCAGACACTGAAACCTGAGACGCTTCCCTGGCCAGTCCCAAGGCTGCACTGTCCTCTGCAGAGGCTGTGTCACTTTACTCCTCGATCCCAGGCCTGTGCACCATTTCTTCTTCAGGGTACAGAGCTTTCCCACTGCAGGCCTGGAGCTCTGGGAAGACGGGGCCTCCTCCCTGCACCCCCCTCCACCTCTGTGACAGTGCCCAGGGCCTAGGATGTGGCTAGAGGGGCCACTGGGAAGATGAGCAAAGAGCCATGGTCACAGCCCACCCTGAGAAGGCTCACAGCGGTAAGATCAAAGTGTTGCTCCCTCCAGGAAACCTTCCCGTATGCAGCCAATGTGTCTCACACCTTCAGTGCATCCATAAAGTATCAGCCGAGTGTCTGCCAAACGCAGGATTCTTGTGTTTGCCCTACCAGTCCGTGAGCTTCTCCTTGGTACCCAGAACAAGGCCTCACTCACCACAGGCGCTCAGTTAATGCCGCATGAGTCAATTACAAGGGTATCCTGTGGGGAAGTTCCTAAGCTCCGGAAGACAGATACAGATGGCCCAGGGAGCCGGGCATGGTGACACACCATGGTGCCAGTAATCTCAGCACTTGGGAGGCTGAGGCAGGAGGATGGCCATGAGTTCAAGGCCAGCCACAAGATGTATGAAAACTGCTTGGTGGGACTGTATGTGCTCTACGGGTGCCATAAGCAGAGCCCCTGGCCACAGGTGGGACAGGCATGAGCCACTCGCGGAAGTGTGGCCCACAGAGGCAACTGTCAGTGGTCAGGAGAACTGCAGGGCAGCCCGGGAGTGGCACAGGCCACGTGTGACCGCGCAAGTCTCTGCAAACAGCAGCGGGCTCTGCGAGCAATGACGACTGCCCCACACTGAGTCTGGGTGTCCAGGTCGTCACCCTGCTTGCTTGGCTAGGACAGAAAAAGGAGCCTAGGCTGTGTGTCAGGAGATGAGCAGCTCAAGGCATCTCTCTGTGCCTGTTTCCCCATTTCTAGGAGAGAAGTGGACCAGGCGGCCTCCAAGTCTTTGCGTTAATTTTGTGGCCAGCACAGAGCCCTTGTGTACGATGCTCACCAGACCCTGGGGACTGGGCCGGGCGCTGTCATCCTTTGCTGTGAAAAAGCACGAACACCATCATCCAGGGACGAGACAGCCACCTGTGGTCAAGGGCCCCAGAAATCGCATCAATAAACAACCGAGCAAGAGACGATGTGCTTGGCGGCTGCTGATAAGGCCCGGAGGCCTCACGGATGTCTGCACGAGGCCCGGGTGGGTGCCTCTCAACAAGAAGACATCCATTTGGCAGGTTGCACGGGGAGATGAGCTGTAATCTTGGCCACCACGGTGCGCCCACAGTGAGGCGGTGTTGTGATGACTGATACTGCGGTGACCACGGGAATCTTGAAAGGGAGCTGGACAGCGGGACCATCTCAGGCCATGGGCAGCACAGGCCAGACAACGTGGGCCCGGCCAGCAGACACGAGATGGGAGAGGAGATGGGCAGGAGAGGGCACCATGGGTGATGTGGGCGAGATTGTCCAGGGCCCCCTGATGACAGGACCGGGAAGATCACTCAGCTTGAAAGCAGCAGAACCACTTTGGAAGAGGCTTGGGCCATCAGGTGCTGGACGGGCAGCGGAGTACTCAGTGGAAACGAGCACGCGCAGAACCACGTGGCAGATGCAAGAGTAGCCATGGTGGATTTATCCCCGAAAGCTAAAACCCAGACACAACCGGCAGGTCCCCAAGAGCAGCGGGAGTAAGGAAACGCTGATATCTGTGCAATGGAAAGTTACATACAAGTGAAAAAAAAAAAAGAACTGCAAGTAGACCCAACCTTGTTGACCATCCTGGGTGCTGTTTGAAAGAAACAAGATACAAAAGCATACGTAAAGGATGATTTCATTTATTCACAATTCAAAATTGGGAACACGAGTCTTACTGTAACGGAGGCTTCATGTTGACCGCCCTTGGGTGGGACAGGGTCTTATTTACCGGGAAGGGAGCCTAAGAACTTCCTGTGGCAGGAATATTGGACATTTTTGATCTGAGTGCTGGTTACACAGTGGAGGAACACACAGAGGAAAATTGCAGCAAGGCATTTGCTTAAGATTTCACCCTAAACTTTTCCTCATTAAGGCGCGGGGAAGCACCCAACCTTTGACACCATTAACCACGAGATCCAGCAAGAAAATCCACAAATCGTTCCAAGTACCACTTCCCAGGCTGGCTTGGTTTGAGGTACAGATTTTCCATCTGGAACAAGCGCTCGCTAGTATGAAGTCCCCGTTCCCTCTCCTCGCCCCTCGGCCCTGGCATTTCATTGTGTCCCTTGTCCCCCACCGAGGTCTGTCAGCATGACTCAGTCTCCCCTGGACTCTGCTCCCTCCTGGAATGGTTGGAACTGTGTTACTGAGCCTGAGTCCCGAAGGAGCCTTCCCCACCTCACCTCAGCCACCAGCTCTGCACACCCTGGGGAAGCCTCTGCCAAGGGGCAGCATCGGATTCAAAGGCAAACAGGCCAGGCTAGGGCCTGATGCACCGTGACAGTCAGTCTTCCAGCCCCTGGATGCCGGAGACGACCCTGTCATGAAAAGCAAAGGGCCACGTCTCAGAGAGCATTGTGGGAGAAACAGAGAGAAAACAAGGGAACAGCAGTAAACAGGATGGTTCCAGAGAGTGCGTCGGGCAAGGAGCGGTGGGGAGAGGAGTCTGCCCGGGAGAGAGAGGAGGGACACACAGATGGTCTAGGACTAATAGCTGGCTCTGCTACCCACTAGCGGGGTGACCCAGGGCAAGTTTCTTAACCTCCCTGGGCGTCAGCCTCTTCATTTGTAAAACGAGAACAATGATGCCTCCTGCCAGGGCTGGCGTAGGGAGGGTTTTAATGCAATAGATGTAAAACGTCAGCTCCGATAGTACGTGGTCTTTCGGTAAGTGACAGCTCTGGAGATGATTACAGAGAAGCAAGGTGTGGGGACAAGAGACCTCCTTCCCTTGCGTCCCAGGGGTGGAAACGCTCAAAGCAGACCTAGAGCCGGTAGGGATGTCCCACAGATATGTTCACGATTCGCGCTGAGGGCCCCACAGAGTTGCACAGGAGGGAGGAGGAGCAGAGTCCCTTCCTCGGGGTGCCTGCTCTTACACATGCCGCATGGCTTTCTGCAGGGTACTTCAGCCTCAGTTTCCTCATTCGTGACATGGGGTTGCTGAGGAACATACAATCCACCTCTCACGGGGAGCTCTAGATAGTGCCCGGCTCAGACGACACCGAGTGTGGGTTTCTTTCTTTCTGTCTCTTGGTAGTGCCGGAGTCGAACCTTTGCACTGAGCTATGTCCCCAGCCCTTTTTTATTATTTATTTCGAGATAGAGTCCTGCTAAATCCCTAAGTTGCTCAAGCTGGACTCAAACTTGTGATCCTCCTGCCTCAGCCTCCCGGAGTGCTGGGATGACAGGCCCGGGCCACCACACCAGTTCAGCACTGATTTCCAACACGGCCCTGTGTGGTCTCAAGGCCTGGCTCCCCAAGCATGTGTCCCCTTCGCATGAAGCCCCTGCTCTGTCTGCCGCACGTGCTGACAGCTGGCACGTTTCCGGGGCCCACTGTGCATCTCTAGCTCCTCGCATCAGCGCAGAGAGGCAGAAAGGACAGATTCTAGGCAGCCTCCTTTGCAGAGGGAAACTGAGGCCCAGAGAAGAAATGCTCTGTGTGAGTCACTCAGCGAGACAGTAACAGAGCTAGGACTTCAACCCAGGCCTTCCACCTGCTGGCTGGGGACCCTGCTCCCCACTGCAGGTGTCTGTGGACGACCCCCCTCTTACATCTCCGGGGAGCTGCACAGATGTAGACCCCCAAGTCCTCGAAGCACAGTAGCAGGAGCAGCACCAGACCTGGCCCTTCAGGCTGGGACCTAGGGCTTGTACTTGGGGCAAGAGACACGGCTGGATCTGCTCACCTCTGCTTGACACATTGGTAGACAGAAAATGGAGTGGGATTTTGGAATCCACTATGCTTTCCCGTCTCCGATCTGTGAGACTTTCTATTTCCTTCTCACCAGCAATGTCAGCAAACCCCCTTAGGAAAGGAAATTTGCATCCCCTGTGGGTGATAGTGTTCATTGAGATCCCTTGTAGATTTTTCATGGCCAAATCAAGATGCCAAGTGCTTTCCCTATATCTGAGAGAGACTCCGTTCACAGAGCATATTAAAAGTTCTGATAACTTTATTTGACCAGAAAACCCTTCCTTTCCAGAACAACTCTTTAAAAATGTGACGCCATAGTGTTCTGTAAAATAAGTGAAGAAATACAGAGCCCAAGCTCAACCCAGTGGAGGGGTGTATAGCACCCCCCACCCCCAGTCCCTCTGTTGAGAACAGTGGCAGAAAAGAGGTCCCTTCTGAGGTAGCGTCACAGTGAGGACACCAAG